AGACACCTTGGTTTCCCTTCAGCAAATTCTTCATTTTGTGTTATATGTACCTATACCAGTAGATAATATAAATTGGAATTACTAGTTTTTATTGTCTGCACTACATGAGCTATGTTAGAGTTCTAGACTCATAAATAATAATTACATTTGCCCTGGAATAGCTCCTGGAATGGTTTGTCCGACATGATAAATGTGCAAAGGATTCAATGGCCAAAAAAAACATGAAAAAAAAGAAAAGTAGCATTTCTGATAGAGAATGTTGACAACCTGACCAATTGTAAACTGTCACTGTGTTTGATTTTCCTGACCATCTCAATTAAACTCACCTTGCTCCTTTCTGCCTATACTGGGATGAGAAACTGATGATCCAACAAAGATAAGGAAAGTAGGAGAGGTGTTTTGGTGTTTTTTTGTTTTCTTTTAAAGTACAAAGAAAGGTCACAAAAAGCTTGTGTTTTTGTCCTTTTACATCAAATGAATCACATGCTATCCCAATTTATAGGCGGGGTTAGAGAGTAAAGTACTTGAAATTGAGACTGATAGGTGTGTGATTATTGGTAATGGTGAGTTCTAGGGTAACATCAGGAGAGTGGATGGGAGATAGAAGCACAAAATTGAGATTGAGGAACTGACTGACCAAGGTATTGGGGGAATCATTTTGTGTATTGAAATACTATACTAATACAGAACAGATTTTGAAGAGGGTAACATCCTCACTCAGGGCGTGAGACAGCTTATCCTGGGCATATGTGAATGGCCAAGATGAGTGGATAATTGCTGATACAGTCTGAAATTCAAAGCTGGGGTTTCAGGAAAGGGCAAAAGGAGAATAATTCAGAAATCAGAGTGAGTCCACTCCTTCCAGGGCCTGTTTATCTGAGACATGCAAGAGAAAATGTCCATCAGTTGAAAGGGCTTGAACAAGAACAGAACTCTTAAGAGGAAAGTGAGATTTCAGTGGTGAAAACAAAGGAAAGAGGAGATGTGGCAGAAGACACAGTGAAAGGATTTTGGAAATTAAGCGAGGAAGGGAGCGGGAGTGAGTGTCAGGATATATAGAGAGTGTTTAGGGATGAGAGTCCAGATGATACGGGATGATCTGGAAGTCTTGGGGTCTTGGTGACTGATATAAAAGGGATGTAGAGCATAATAGAATTTATTTAAATGATCTCCTAGGCAGATTGTTGTAAATGTTGAGAGAGGTTTGTGAGCAGCAGATTGATCAAGAGCAGCCAAAGATTTTAGGCCTATAATTCTGTTTCTGCCATATAAATTACCACAAACTTAATAGCTTAAAACAATACAGATTTATTGTTTTCAGTTTTAAGGCTCAGATGTCCAACAGGTATCTTGCTGTACTAAAATGAAGGTGTTTCAGGGCTGCATTCCTTAAGGACTCATGGATTACATGGGACCCACCTGATAATCCAGGACAATCTTGCCGTCTCAGGTTCCTTTATCTTGATTGTATCTGCAGAGTTCCTTCTTGCTATGTTGGCTAGCATAGACACAGGTTCCAGGGATTTACGGCATGAACCTGTTTTGAAGGCCATTATTTTGCATACCATAGAGTTCCCTTTTTCTTTTTAGTGGTGTTAGTCTGTAGAGGCTGAGATGATACAGGTATAGGGTCACGCTACCTGTCCAAGGTGTAGCTCACTCTGAGAGTTGAGTTCTTGAACCTTCAGGTTTATGTGGGGTGAATCAGAGACCAAGGACTGACTCAGGCCTCAGTGTCGTCTCATAAAAGCAGATTAAGGTACGTGTAGTCTGAGAGCCAAAACAGTTTACATGAATAGGGAACCTAAATATTATTTGCAGAAATGCACATAGTTGGAATAGGCTTATGGCACACTAAGAAAACTGTATTTTTTAGTTTTTGTAGCTCATGTCTTGACATTTGACAGGCTAGAGTTTTAGTGTCATATGATGTTTGTTTTGGCCAGAATCTTCTCTGGTTCTTAAAATTCATTTGGGAAGTGATTCTTGTTTTCACAGGTTAATTTTTAAGTTGGTTTTAGAAACTACTGTTGAGTCAAAAATGTTTTTAATCTTGCCAATATTTTACATCATATGTAAAGGTAGGTTAATGTATAGTCCAGTTTGGTGTCAAGTAAATTGAATACTGTTGCCTAATTTCATTTTTTCTCATACATTAAACAAGTAATTTTAGAAATACTTTACTCTTTACAAATTAAAAGTGCTCTTACAAATAATGATCTTTTCTGTTACAGTACAAAGTTAATTATCTGCAGAACCAAGTTAGAATTTTTCATAAATGGTGGTAAATGTAGTTAAGGATTATTGTTTGGATTTTATATACCAGTAAGTTAAATTTCAGCACTACTTTTAATTAATGTTGACAGATCCATCTGTCCTCAAAATATCTTATGATATTAAATTTAACAAATCTAGACTTCAAAGTAGGTTAATGGGTCAACAGGTTTTTGGGTTAGAGAAAAAAATTGTAGTTTCAGACTTTAACATCAAGTTCTTGAGTTAACCATTTTAATTAATTTAAAGAATTAGAAGAAATTAAAAGGGGTTTTCCTTTTAAATTACATGAGCAATAAACAGGAAAATAGTCTCTGTTACTCGTATTTTTGTTTTCTGGGATAGTTAACATGTATTTTATCTTCTTAGCCTTCTTACATATACCCAGAGCTTTTAGTAGTAGAATATTGAAAGCAAAAAGACACTATTTAAGTTTCTGATTATAAAAGTAATGCAAGGTCATCAGAGAAGTTTTAGAAACTACAAAATAACTCAAGAACAACCATTCTTCATACTGTGGGCATTTTTAGGTTTATTTATTTATGGTGTTGAACCCAAGGCCTTCGAAGTAAGCTACATCCCAACCACACACACACACCTAGTTTAAAATTTTGAGACAAGGTCTTCCTAGGTTCCCCAGGCTGGGCTTGAACTTACCATTCTCCTCTTTTTTTTTTTTTTTTTTGGTACTGGGGCTCAAACTCGGGACCTTGCACTTGCAAGGCAGGTTGCGGAGCCACTGAGCTAAATCCCTGGCCCTTAATGTTGGTTCCCTTTTTTTTTTTTTTTTTCCGTTCTCCTTGCCTCCACCTCCCAGAGTGCTGGGTTTATAGGTATGCACTACCATGCCCAATTAGGTTGCTGGCCTTATAGAATGAGCTTGCAAGTTTCCTGTTCAGCTTTTTGGAAAAGTCTGAGGAGGTTGGTGTTACTTCGTTCAGTGTTTGGTAATCAGCGAAGCCATTTGGTCCTTGGCTTTTCTTTGTTGAGAATTTACAAGTTAAGAGATCTGTTCAGATTTTCTGTTTCTTCATTATTCAGTTTTAGTTATCTATTTTGAGAAATTTGTCCCTTCTAGATTATCAGCTTGTTGCTGTATGATTTTTATGGTAGTCTTCTGCAATCTTTTCCCTTTCTGTGGCTTCAGTTATAATGTCTCTTTTTCATTTCTGATATGATTTGAATCTCTTCTCCTTGTTTCTGCTAATTTTGTTGTTCTTTTTTAAAAAAAAGTCTTAGTTTTGGTAATTTTTTTCTCTATTATATTTTCTCTGTTCTGGTCTTTACTTTTTCCTTTCTTCTGCTGACTGTTGGCTTAATTTGTTATTATTTTTGTAATTCTTTGAGGTACAAAATTAGGTTATGTAAGATTTTTCTTAATTTCTAATGTAGACATTTACTGCTATGAAATTCCCTCACTGTACTGGTTTTGCTGCATCTCATAAATTTTGGTATGTTGTGTTTTATTTGTCTCAAAATACTTTCTAATTTCACTTTTGATTTTTTTCCTTGACCCTTTGATTATTTAAGAGTGTGTTATTTAATTTTCATGTGTTTGTGAATTTTCCAGTTTTCTTCTATCTTGATTGCTGTTTTCATTCCATTGCAGTCAGAAAAAATACTTGGTATGATTTGAGTCTTGTTAAACATTTTTTGTGAACTAACATGTGACCTGTCCTAGATTATGTTCTCTGTGCACTTAAAAAGAATATGTATCAGGCTACTAATTGGGTAGAATGTTCTGTATATGTCTGTTAGACTTTTGGTCTGTAATGTTGTTCAAGTCTGTACTTTATTAATGTTCTGCCATCTGTAGATTGTTGAAAGGTGGAGTATTGAAATCACCTGTTGTGTAATTGTTTCTCTTTTCAGTTATGTTGACATTGCTTCTTATGTGTGGGTTCTCTGATGTTAATGCATGTACATTTACAATTGTTGTAACTTACAAATGAATTTTATATATAATATCCTACTTATGACAGGTTTTGACTTAAAGTCTATTTTGTCTTATATAAGTATAGCTAGCTACTCATGCCTTCCTTTGGTTAACCATTTTCATGGAATATTTTTTTCTATTTTTTTACGGTGAGCCTAAAATAAGTCTCTGATAGGTAGCATATAGCTGGGATTTTTAAAATCCAGTCAGCCAGTGTCTTTTGATTGGGGAGGTTAAATTCACTTAGATTTAAATTTGTTGCTGAAAGGAAATGTCTTGTTTTCTGTCTTGTAGCTGTCTTCTTCTTTTCCTTTGTTCCTTTTTTATCTTCCTTTACATTGTGTTGATTTTTTGGTATTATTCTTTCATTCTTTTCTCATTTTCTTTTGTATCCTCTGTATTTTCTTTGTGGTTACCCTGGGGCTTATATTTAAGCTGATAACTTCAACTGAATATGAAAACTGTACCTTTACTCTTCCCCCTTTTTTAATGGATGTCACAAATTACCTCCATTTATATCATGCATTTATTAACATATTTTTGTGATTATTTTTTAATACTTTTGTCTTTTAAATTATATACTAGAATTAAAAGTGATTTAGTTCATTCATGATTTTAAAGTTATTTTATTTTCTCTCAGAAGCAATTTATAGAACTTAAATTTTGTTAGGCATTTTTGTGACACAGCTCTAAATTTTGTTTAAAATTTTATACAAGTTGGATAAATAATATCCTTTTAAAATTTTATATAAGTCAGATAAATCTAACATTATCTTTCTTGTTTAAACAGAATTCTGAGATTGATGGTTGGTCATATAGAAGAAGCCCTTGAACCTATAGTTTTCTGAAAAATCAGTTCAAAAGACTGAAAAAGTACAAAGGTAAAGATAGGTGCATCTTAGAGGGCACCATAGAATATAATTTTTCCAAAATAGTGTATAAAAGAACCTATGAAGTATTTTGATGCACTAACTTGAGGAATGCTTAACAATTTTTTTCTTTTGTGTTAATTTATCCCAAAATGTTTGTTGTGCAACAGTTATGTCCAGGATACTACTTTAGCTAATTGGTATACAGTGATGAACAAGAAGATAGAAGCCATTCCTGCTCTCATGAGGATTGTGTTCTAGAGGAAGACAAATAGCAAACAAATGAGAAATTTGTGATTAGTATTGTACAGGGAATTGAATAATGTGATAGAGACTGGTGACTGCTTTTCATTAGGTAGTCAGAGAAGGCTCATTCAAAATGAGTCATTATATTTGAGTATAGAATGGCAAGAAGGAGTTAGACATGTGCAGATCTGACAAAAGAATAAGTATTCACACTCAACCATGTTTCTCGGTAGTGGAACAAGAGTGGTTATGGTATGCTTGAGGAACAGCGAGAGCAAATGTGACTGGAATATAGTGAGTAATGGGGAAAGTATAATAATCAATGCTTACTAGAGTCAGATGTAGAAGAGTGCAAGAGATTTGTCCACACTAGGGACCCGAAGAATCCAGCTGAGGGCCTGGATCCCACAGCAATGTCTGCACAAGTCCAGTGAAAGTCCTAGAGCCCATGGCAATGTGTTCCATGGGTCCAGCTGGAGGCCTAGGCCCCACAGCAATGTCTCCTGCAAGTCCATATCAAGGATCTGCACCAGGAAGGCCTAAAGGCCAGTGGTGGAAGCAAATTTGCACCAGTGAAGTGTAGAATCTGTGCCAGAAGTCCAAGGGATCTACACTGGAGCCAGGAAGCGACATTCAAGGTGAAGATCAGAGCTCCCCCAAAGAGAACAGCAGCCACCTCAGCAACAGTGAGGACCTGAGCTCCACCGATGACAAGAACAGCTGAGTTTGTATCAGGAAAACCAGCTGCGGCAAGCTTCTCCAGGAAAATCAACAGCATGCAATCTTCTCCCATTCTCCCTTTATGCCGTCCGGCAACAATCCTCAGGTGGGTCTTCCACGCCCAGAGCCACACTTGACTCAGTTCAACTGGCCTTCCCACTTAAGTTTACCAGTAGTTAATCCACAACAGAAAGTATATGGAGAGGAGAGTATATGGAGGTTAGGTTGGAAAAATTGAGGTGCAAATTTACTAAAGAGAGTCAAATATTTTGATTTGGCTATGATACTTAGAATACCTTTAAAATCTGTAGAAATGTTACAAAGATAGTGTGGATATATGACTACAGTTGAAAAATCTGCTGTAAGATCATGGATTTGAGCACTGGCAAATAGAAGTACTGAGAGTCAAATTTATGGATTAAATTGTCTCAGAAGTATGTATACAGAAATTGATATGGCCCTTCACTTGCCAATATTAATCAAAAAAGAAGCAGCAGCCAGTAAGATATGTGGCAAAGCAGAAAAATGTTCTGTCACAGAAACCAAGAAGAGAATATATTTAACAAATAGCAGCACTCATCTGTATCACATCTACTAAGAGTTCAAATAGAGTACAGTAAAGTAGCCATTAGATACGGCAACATGAATGTTTCCTATTAAGAATGAAAAATCTCAGTGAAGTGGTAGGAATGAAAGTCTAAGACTGATGAGTAGTGAGGCACTTCTAGTTAGATATGGCAAACAATACAATTAAATTTCATTTCTTTAAACACCATTAAAGCTTTTAGCCATAAATAAAAGGAGTTCTGCAAATGATAGACCCTCACAGACATCTGAAACTGAATCATTCTCAGAATCTGTAGCATGGGCAAGTGTGACTCTAGCTAGTGCTTCTGGATTGAAAGCATGAGTCATAGGGTAGTCCCCAACCAAAGTGTTTTGGCTATTCTTTTATTTCCACATTGTTTTGTTAATTTGATACCCTTTAGAGAGGTTTGCTCTGAGGGTACTCATTGTGACCTACATAACCATATGTCACTTCTTTTACCTTTCCCTTAAGTAAAGCATGTCTAATAATTGACTGGAAAAGTAGAAAAAAGATCTGGAGCTGAACTGTGAGAGATAATCTGAGGTTGTTCTGTTAGAAGGACCAAAAATAATTTGTGAACTATTGTTTAGCAGCAGCAAACCAGCCTAATAAAAAAATCAGTCTGTCTCTTAAACTATTTTGGATTTGCTCTTTTTATGGTCAATAAGGCCTTTCATAGATAATATAAACCCTAGTTCTTGAGGCAGGGTATCTTAGTCACTTTGTCACTGCTGGGACAAAATACTTAACACCCACAATTTAAAGTAGGAAAGGTTTATTTTGGATCATGTTTTTGAAGGAATCAGGCCATACATACTCAGCTGGTTCCAAGGTAGAAGCAGCATGGTAGAAGGGCCTAACCAGAAGAAAGTTGCTCCTCCCATGGCAGCCAGGGAAGCAGAGAAGGGAGGATCCTGGGATGGAGATATAAACTTTCATTTCACAGCCCCCGCTTTCTGACTAGGCCCCACCTCCTAACAGCACACATTCAGGTATGAACTCATCAATAGATGAGCACCCACTGATCAGCACCCGTGTGATCTATTCACTTTCTAAAACCCCACTTTGGAACATACATGATCCTTTGGGGGGAATATTTTCAGTCTAAAACATAAGGAGGAGGTGTTTTGTTATAGTTTGTCCAGTTTTCTACATTTTTTTTTTTGGTACTGGGATCAAACTCAGGACCTTGTCCTTGTGAAGCAGGTATGGTGCCACTGAGCTAAATCCCTGGCCCCAACTTTGTACCTTTAGAAAATCAAAGATACATGTTGATAGCTTATATGCATGTTAAGGTGTCTTATTAGCTCATATCTGGCCTTTTAAGTTTAAACTAAAGCTATCCTTTTTTAATTTACCTAAACTGGCTCTGTTACCTTTGTACCATTTTGTTTGTTTGTTTTTTCCTAGTGATAGGACCTATGTTATTACTGTATTTCTTTTGGACCAGGTGATCTTTAAATTTTCATGTAATTCTAAAATTCTATAGTTGTGTGTTCCATCTGCTGTTACCACAGACACTTAAATCACTATATTTTTCATAGTGTTAGTCCTTTTAATTCTTATCTTTGACTCACCTTATCATTTGAAGAATTCTTAGTCCTTCACAATCCCATTTCTGCAGCCATAACTACAAGTTTATTCTTCTAATGAAGGTTATTCTCTATTCCTCTTGTAAAAATACATTTAAAAAATTGGTAAAATTTTTTAGAATCTTCTGGTCTTAAAACACTTTTAATCTTCCCTATCTTAGAGTTACATATTAATTTACATTTTCTAAATTTTCAATAAAGTCAAAACTGTTAGCATATTTATCAGAATCAAGGTGATTATTCAGCATTTAACTCATGATTGTAGAGCATAAGAATTTTGTGTAAGTAAAACCTGCCTTATACTTTTCAGAAAGACTATACAATTTAGAGAAACAAAGTTTAGGCTTGTGATTCAGTTTGGAAGCAGCATCAGTCTATAAAGGTAACATGGTTCTTCTCTGTTTAACATATCTTCACCTCTCTGTCACTCCGGTTCTCACTTTATGCTCTAGTAATTAAAACTTCAAATTGTAAAGCCTAATTTTTCTATAAGGAAAATGCAGAACCTCTTGATTTTCCAAATATGATATTGTCTCATCTTGTGCATCTTGTGAAGACCTGTGCCTTTGCAGATTCTCATTCTTTTTGACTTAGAATTCTTTGAACTATTTGCTTTGACATCACATGGGGGTCTTGTGAAAAATGTAGATTCTGATTCAGTAGGATTGCGATGGAGGCTATGATCTGTCACTTAATAAGTTCTCAGAGGATGCTGATGGTCTGTAGATCATATTTTCAGTAACGAGAACCTTTAGTTTTTGGCAGACTCATTGTCATCCCGAGTATTTCCTCACTTTCTCCTCTCAGTTCCCATGAGTTTACCTAATTGTTCTTTTCCAGTAATGTCATTACAAAATATTTTTTTAATATAAAACTATTTATTGACCACTGCTCACCATTATTTACAATAAAGTAAACAATGTACGGTAGGATAACATTCTGACTACTACAAAGTTATTTTTCTGGCTTCTGCTGAAACAGTAACTCAAATACTGAAGATTGAGCCTACATGTAAGGAACAAATTGGGGTCAAGAAAAACATGCAGGTCAATAATTTAGATTATAAGTTTGTTCACTAATTTATTCTAGCAGGTCCTAAATTGTGACCACCTCTAGCCACTCAGTAGGTTTCCATGAGCAAAGTCTTAGACATCCACAAATCCTGACTTTGAGTACACATTTCAACTTGTTGTAAGGGAATGGGTCATGAGTAACCTTTAATGTTCCCTTAACAAGTTTTCCTTAGCTAATTCAAACAAACCACGTTGACTAGTTACCTTATTTGGGTGGGGAAGTTGTTGGTAGTGACACAACTTTTTTTCAGGAATTTTGCAAGCAAACTGCTGTATTTTTCTAACTAAACACAGATATGGATTCTGATATGGTTGCTTTGAAAATACCCACTTTAATCTGTCCAATTAACCACAGAATTATCTATCTAACTTGAAAAGTTGTGGCTTCGGGAAAACTTGCAGTTTAACTGTGTTTTATTTCTTAGGTTGCTCAGAATGATAGCATCTCAAACTTGAGCTTATTACCTATAGTTCTTATTTTGGTGAATGTTTAAAAACAAAACAAAAACCATTTACATAAGTATTTTATTTATACACAAACAAAAAATTCAGAATGGTCCTTAAGCATGTGAGCTAAAAATGAGTTCTGTTTTTGAGTTTGACTATGGATAATTTTCCCAATATTTAGAAAAGCAGAGGAAATATATCAGGCTATTAAATGCTGTTTTCTGATAAAGGAAGCAACTACAGAAAGCTTTTTATTTGTTCAAAGTAACCAGTGCTATTGATGCGAAACAAAACTCAACAACTTCCCCAAATACTTTCAAAACCAACATATTAAACTTGATTTTC